GAGTGAACCTTAGAGTAAAGAGTAAATTAGCAGCAATTTATAAATATACTCGAAGAATATATTATTCTTTGATATACTGTAATTAAACTTCTGAATAGAACCAAAGATTATATACAGTACTGTAGAAAGATTTTATACTCTTTTTAATTGTGTGAGGGAACCAGTATATATTGCGCCCTCTATAATCTTAGCGGTAAGTTTTGAACTTTGAACGCCTAGCTAGCCTAGTAGTAGCTAGGCCTAGCTAACTAAATCTGGGATCGGAGAGAGGGGGTAGGCCTAGGTCTAGGGACTTTTATAATCACGTATATTGATAGAAAAATGTAAGTATTGTTTGATAAATTGGATCATATAATAATCAGAACGCTACTCTCTTCCTAGGAGGCTTCTACATAGCTAGGCCTAGAGTACCTAGGTAACCTAGGCCTAGGCCCTAGTAGTAGTAGCCTACTAGGTAAGTAGGCTAGCTAGCCGGCGGCCGGGCCTTAGGCAAGCTAGGCCTAGCCTAGTTTAGTTGGCACGAGCCGGATGATACTAGCCTAGGGCCTAGGACCTAGATTAGAGAGAGAGGGCGCCAAACTAACTAGTACTTATGCCTAGTTTAGGAGGTAGGCCTAGGCCTGCGGTATGGAACGCCGATGTACTAGCCTAGCTAGGGTGCCCTTGTTAGTGGTGGTTTATTTACAATGTTTAGAAACTACAGATAGGCCTAGTAAAGTACCCCCGCTGTAACTTGTAAGAAAGTAAAGTATTTTAATTGTGCGGATGATCCCTCGCTCAAGTCAAGCTCAAATTTGTGTGGAAAATCGTGGCCTAGTAGGTGCGTGGAATCGTAATTGCTGCATATAGACCCCTTTTACTGTTTACATCATTGGCCTACCTGAAACGCTGTCAGCGCCTTACCTGGTAGGCAGAAGAATAGCAAAATATACTGTCTGGATTATCTTTATTTTTGTTGTACCAAAAATCTGAAAGCTACATAGATGAAACTCACATATGACATAGTTACATCCTATATTAGGAATTGACAACAAAAATAGAAATCTAAAAATTTACTAAGTCATTGGGTCCACAACAAGTTTAAGTTGCTACTGTAATCAGCACAGGAGCCGGCAAGGCCACCAGGTACCCATTTATACTGACTAAACTACTGTACTCATCATGTATGGAGAGAAGCAATGCAGATAGTGTCTCAATAACAAGCAAAATGCTAAGTGTTTGCTTGAATGTATTGACAAAATGAATGGTATGAAATGGCAAATTAATGGTAGTTTCAATGGTATCTTTTCAGATCAGAAGTTATGGAATCTCGAACAGTAGAAGAGCTACAAGAACATTTCTTGAATAAATTAGACAATTTGAACAAATGTATGCAGATGTCAAATATCTGTAAGATCATTAAACTTCTCATGTTTTTAATTTTCCTGAAAATTAAACATATTAATTTTTCCATTTAAAATCCAAAATTGCATTACATTAAATGTATATTAACTGTACAAAATTATACTTTGTTATTCAAGACAATTATTTACCTAAATTTTAAATAAAATTAAATCACACATAAAATAAGAGCATGTGGTGCAGAGTTAAGTGAATGACAAGTGGAATACTCCTCAGGTAGTGCGAAGGTGACATCAAATGTTGATGATTGTCTGTGAAGACAGTGAATATTTATTGATGCATGAAAATTACTTTTTAAAATGTAATACTGTATGTGGGGGTTCTTTATTAAATATTCTTGTGTATTTATGGTAGCAAATATTGTGTCATTTTGTGTTATAAATGGGTTGCCATGGAGATTCTAATTTCATTTTGACCTGTAATTATTCATACTTGTATTTTTAAACAAAAAAAACCCTTGAAATATTTAAAAATGTTGTTGTTTAGGTAAAGAGGCTGAAGTTCAGGATGTATTGTTTTCCATCAACCATGAGCTTCTAGTTCTAGAATCAACAGTTGCTCAGATGAAGAAACGTCTCATAAAACAACGAGAAGAAGTTTCACAATCTAAGGTACTGTATTATATTAGTTCATCAATTCATTCAAGCTCTTAATCATCCATCCATTCATTCATTCATTCATGCTCTCAATCATTCATCCATTCATTCATGTTCTCAGTCATTCATCCATCCATCCATTCATTCATTCATGCTCTCAATCATCCATCCATTCATTCATGCTCTCTCTCAATCATCCATCCATCCATTCATTCATGCTATCAATCATCCATCCATCCATTCATTCATTCATTCATGCTCTCAATCATTCATTCATTCATTCATTCATGCTCTCAATCATCCATTCATTCATTCATTCATGCTCTCATTCATCCATTCATTCATTTATTCATTCTCTCAATCATCCATCCATTCATTCATTCATGCTCTCAATCATCCATCCATTCATTCATTCATCCATTCATTCATGCTCTCAGTCATTCATTCATTCATTCATTCATTCATGCTCTTAATCATCCATTAATTAATTATTAATTCATTCATTCATTCATTCACATTTTAATAGCCTATTTACTCAATTTTTATGAATTTTAGGGTATAATCGGCCTATACGCATTTAATTATTTATAACATTTTTATGATGCATGAGATAATACAACGTGATACGTAAAAAGTAGAGACTCATGCGTTATTCGTGAGAGTGGCAGGTATAACATCATCATGGGCACATCACACAAACAGACAGAGCTTTATGGGAGAAACAATGTATCGATGAATAGTGGAAACAATTTTTTTCATAAAGTTACAACTTATGCTTGCAGCTATTGTCAGAGCAGTTGAAATCCCAGAATGCCTTGCTGCAACACATGTCGGAAAACATACCATCGCGGTTACCCGGACTGCAAAAAGTACAGATAGAGAAGAAACAAAGGTATAGTCTACATGTAGTATAGTATCACCTTCCCAACAGCGATAATCCACATACATGTGTGTGTGCTTACAGAGTACAGAACGTGCAAATAGGAATCTTATGCAAATTTACTGAAAGTATGAAATTAGATTTTTTTACTTGTTGTTGATCAATTATTTCATATTAATAATTATAAATATTTTTACATGTTTGGCAGATATGTTGATAGATATTTTATTTTTTTCATGTGTAATGGTGATATTTGCTATAGACATTATTCCGAGGAAGTGGAAATTAAAAACAAATATATTACATTACAAAGCAGTAATAATGAAACCTTAAAATATTCAATTTCTAAACTAAAACTAGAAAAATGTTGAATTAAGTGTAGGTGTACTCTTGTTAATAACAATGAGATAGACAACACAGTACAAATTAGAAACTACTGTAATGTACAGTATTTGAACCACAACATAAGCCTTTATAAGAGTTCCAGGGTGAACATTTTCTCTAATATCAGTTTTGGTTAAATTATTTTTCATTTGCTTGGCAGTCAAATTTCATAGTGGTATAGCTAATTTATAATACTGTGTACTACAGTTGTTGAATGCAAGCTATTTCAGTAATCCATGCTTCAACACTATAAATTGAGAAATAACACCACTTGTAATTCGGGGTTCATTTTGCAATGCATGTTTTTCACTACCAAGGTAAATGAAGTTGCTTAAATCTTACCTGAGGCAATAAGGCTGTAATTAACCATACTACATACAGTAGACACCTTTTATTTATATTCTTTGAGAAATGGCTCATGATTCCAATAAAATTTGTTTATTAATCCCACATTATGCTACTGTAACTTGCAGGGGCAGACGTATAGTGGGGGGTGGATGGCCCAGCCGCGCTCCCCCCCCCCCCTTTTTGGGAAAGTTAAAAAAGAAAAAAAGAAAAGTAAATAATTGATCGCCCAAAACGCCTCGGAGGTTATTTTTGGGTGTCTAGAAAACAAAAAATTTGCGGGGGCATGCCCCTGACCCCTAAGGTAGCGTTGTCTCAATTGGCTCCTGTTTCTGCCTCCCTTTAGGACATCTCTGGATCCACCCCTGATTTGAATAGGTCTCATGATTTCTCCAATGTAGATCTTCAATTCAAATCATTGTTTGATTTAATTTCAGCATTGTATTACAGGCAAAATATGAAGAAAATACAGAACACAAAGATGAAGCCACTAAGTCAACTACCAAAGCTCCAAGGAAAGTAGCTGTTCCTGTTATGGACTACCTTACAGTTGAAGAATATGATAGTGTTCCCAAGTGAGTCTAACCTGTAGATCATAATCAGATAAAGAGGAGAAGGGGAGGGGGAGGGGGTGGTGGTTAACAAATAGATTTTTTGGTTCAAAATGTATTTGTTCAGCTTAGCCTTGAATGATGCTACTGTTTGTGCAGAGAATCAGTTAACAGACTAACAATGCACTGAATACAATAGTTTTTGAATGTGTTGATTAATTTAGAATAATAAACATTTCAGATACATGAAAGGACGTTTACCATATGAAACTGTAAATAATGTTGTTGAGGGGATCAACAAAGCGATACTTGCCAAGTACACATTCCTGAAACAACCAGTGAGCTCACTCAACAACAAAGACACAAAGAAACACAAAAAGTATAAAGCACAGGAAACCAAAGACACAAAGGGTATAGTTATCATTTGATGGTTTTTTATTTTAATTAATTTTACTTTAATACTATTGTTGATGTTGACATTCTTGCTATGTTTCTTCTCTTTGTGTCTAATATTTTTCAGATATTTATAATTTATTCTAGTTCATCAATTACAAATTATTCAATGCCTTTTTCTCAATAGCATTACGACTATAACTATAGATGCAGATCATAGCCCTTGATGGTTTTGTTGCAACTGAATAAAATGCAATTGAATGAATTAGTAAATTGAAATAATTTTTTAAAATTTAAATTTTTTAATTTTATATTTTTAAGGTGTGTTTTTCTGTATTGATGAAGATCTTAAAAACTACAGTAATTGGCGTATGGACAGCAGTACACGCTCAAGTCTGACAATTTTACGTCATTGTGGTAGAATGCGTGAAACACGTGGCAATGGAATCGTTCGGTATTGTTTAGTCTAGTAAATCATTATCGTAAAATAATATTCTTTTAGCACAAACATTTGTAAGGTCTCCATGAAATGATGTTGGGCCAGTGACCATGGCCAGATCACTTCTCACATTTTTAATATATATATATATATAGAATATAATATAACGTAACAGTAAAGAAACTCAAATACGTAAGATGTTGACTTTAGAAACACTAAAATTTATTAGGCGAATATTTCGGCTACTCCTGTAGTCTTTGTCAAGCGTTGACAAAGACTACAGGAGTAGCCGAAATATTCGCCTAATAAATTTTAGTG